GAAATGGGATAATTATACAAAAGACTCAAGGTAACGTTTGAAATCAGACTTGGAAATGCATCCTCTGGAACTGTATTTGCAAATTTCTACCCATGCTTGGCCTGCCCCTGCAACCCTCCCAGGCAGGGCAATGGCCCAGCTCTGATTGCTGAGGCCTCTTTCCAGATGACTGCGTTTCCCACTCTGTTGGCACCCTCTCCTCCCCTCTCGTCAGCTGTGGTTGCTTGGGAGTGCTGCTGCCAACCTTACCAATGCTGCTTCATACATGTTCTGCCCGTGGAAACACTGCTTTAGCTCGTCCATGTCCCACGTGTACTGCAGCCAGCGGTTCAGCCTCTCCCAGACCTGCCCGTGTCACTGACTTGTTCTGCGCCTCCTCCACAGACCCTTCGATGCAGGGTTGCAGGCATTATCACTGCCTGCACAGGCTTCAGCGGCCTCCCCCACAGGTGAGTCTCTGGGCCTCCTCGCTACTCTGTCACCTCTCCAAATGATCCAGGTTCCTCACAGTCCTGGTGCCACCTCTGCTGTCCTGGGGGCCCGGGTCCCTCATCCACACACTCAGAGCTACTCTGCACCTTACAGGGCCGACGTGGTAGAAATGTTCACATGTAGATGCCAACCACATAAAAGCGACTGGTCATGAGACACAGGTTTCTAATTCATACCCCAAAGCTCCCTGAATTATCACAGAGGTTCAGCAAACATGGGTTCATTTTTGTTCCCCTTTTCTTTTCAAACTCTTGCTGGACCTTAAACCTGGTAGGATCATTAACCTGAAAAAAGTTAGTGCATCTAAACAATGTACCAAAGTCTGTTGTCACCACATAAATGATGCCATGATTCAACAGGGACTTGATTCAAAACTTCTGATTTCTCTTCATTTTGAATTAACAGTGCACGTGCCCATGGACACACACACACAAAATGGGATGGTATATACACAGATTTCTAAGTACTACTTATGAATAGGTTTTTATGTATTTTATATAATGTTTAAACATTTAACATACTAGTATCTGTCCACATCAATAAATACATTTCAAGACATCCTTAAAAGTTATAGCTAAACATAAAATCACCTCTCCTGACAAACAGACCAATGGAACTGAACAGGCAAGAATGTAAAAACAGAGCAAACCCAAGTGGGAATTTAGTATACACTAAAGGGAGCCCTTTACACTAGTGGGAAAAGACGTATGGTTCAGTGGCTTGTGTTGTGCCTAGCTATCTGCTCCTCAAAGTGAAATAAATTCCCAGTGGGGCAGATTAAAAGACAAAAAGAAACTGTTGGTAATGCTGATGACACAGAGCTAACACAAAAACAGCAGAGACAGAGACAGTCAGCCAGGAGAAGAGCAGAGGCCATGGAGGGTGTTCTCAGCAGGAGAACAGAAAGGCCATGGAACCTGTGAAAAAAGTTACTCAATGTCCCCTATAATTAAAATATGTAGTTAAACCAAATAGATAACGTATTTTCCCACCTGTCAGACCAAGAATTAAGGTGAATGATAACTGATGCTGGCAGGGAGGCAACAAAGTTATATTCATACACAAGGGAGACAACAAAACAAAAACATCCCCCGCCCCGCCCAGAACTGCAGTAATCGTTGTAGGGCCTAATTTAACAGTAAATTAAAAACTGGAAATGTAATCAACAATTCCACGGTCAGGGATGTACTCTGTGGGCACATGCAACCTCAGTGAGTGCACAAGTCACAGGAGCCGCTCGCTATCCAGTAAAACCCCGAGCAGGGCCCACGCTTCTGAGCAGGAGGGGTGAACAGCACACAGTGCACGCAGATGAGCTTGATGTAAGGGCTGATGTGTGAAAGGGCTGACGGTCACGCATCCAGTGAACAGCTACCACGTGTTTATCACACACCAAGCGTCACTCTGACGTTGGTATAGCAAGATCTCTGGAGTCAGTGAAAAAAATCAAGACACCAGAAAAATGGATAGGGCACAGTCCTTGTACTATTCTATACATACGGGACTTACTTCCCTGGTGGCCCAGTGGCTAAGACTCCATGCTCCCAATGCAGGGGACCTGGGTTTGATCCTGGTTGGGAAACTAGATCCCACATGCCACAACTAAGAGTTTGCATGCCACAACTAAAGATCCTGTGGGTCGCAACTAAGACTGAAGATCCTGAATGCTGTAGCTAAGACCTGATGCAGCCAAATAAATAATATTTAAAAAGATCTATATGTAGATAAGTAGGATGGTGGGTGCCAGAGGCTGGAGAAGGGGAGTGGGGAGTTGGTGTTTAATGGGGACAGCTTCCGTTTGGGGAGATGAAAACGTTTTCAAGAGAGATGGTGGTGATGGTTGCATAACAACATAAATGTACTTGGTGCCACTGAACTGTATCCTTAAAAAGGGTTAAAACAGTAAAAGACTTACTCTTCATTTTACACCTCTCTTGAGCATTTGAACTCATAAACCACATGTATGTACTGCTTTTATACAAAGCAAAGTAAAAACAGAAAGTGCCTCTCAGGCAGATAAGCTGCAAGGTGCCAGGTTTTGAGCAACCCCATTCAGCCCTACGTGAGTCTGCTCAGAACGGAGCTGGGGTGCGTCTATTCCCACTGGGCTGACACCCCCGAGCTCCAAGTCCCCTGGACACTAAGATGATACACCTGAGCAGTGGGGTCAGACACGTCAGCATGTGTGTCAAGTGCACAGGAAATGGACAACAGAGTCAGGGCCACCTGTCTCCAGAAGCTGCTTTAGACTGAAAATATTTTCAAGTGTGAATCTCATTTATGATAGCTGCCAATTTAATTCAGGTATTTTGTTTCAAAGTCATTAAAAGATATCTATCACCACCTGCAAGTACTGTTAACATTTTTGTTGAAATAGTTTAGTAGCAGTAGTCTTTCCCACTAGATGTCCAGGAAGATCGACCCAATGATTTAAACATGAAGTGTAAGCACTCATTTCTAAGGTATTACAGATTTAAAACACAGGCTTGAAAAGAACACAGTGGGGAGATGCCACAAAAAAGACAAACAGGATAAGAACCCAAGTCTCAGGCTATTCTGTGTTTATAAGGAAGCGATTCTGGTACCTGTGACAATACCGGCAGTACAGCAGACAGAAAAACTGAATTAACGATGAATGACTCTGGCTGTGATTGACTTGCATTTAGACACAATTTTAATAGAAACTATAGATGTATCCATGTAGAATAATTGGTGAAAGTATCTATGTATGTGGATAACTTTTAATTAAATCCTTTAGTCACTGCCCAAGTGACATCCAAACAATAAGGAAAATGAAAATAGCCACTCACACCCCTCCCATGGAGGCAGTTCCCTGGCTTCCTAAGTTCCCTGCCCTGGTGCTATATGAAAAAATTTTTACAGCTGCAACCATAAAAGTGGAGCTGCTCCATATCCCGCCTCTTCCTTCTTTTACATCTAACGCAGTCTCAGTGACTGCTGGTTTCACCCCTGCACTGGTCCAGAGGTCCTCCCAAAGCTGCGCCATGACTGAGGGTGCCTTCCTGGGCATGCCTGTTTTTGGCCCGGCTGGTGGCAGCGAGGCCCTCCCCAAGGGGGGAATGGGCGAATCTGAAGGCGCCATGTAAGCTGGCCCTCGCTGCTCCTCAGTCTGATTCAGCTTTTATTTTTGAGGCCTCCTGCCAGATTTGAATTTCAAACTGATTCCTGAGGTGACGAAGCTGACTTGACCTTCAATACAATGCTGAAAAATGCTGCTTTCCACGGAGAACCAAATAAACCTGCAGCTACATGCAGCAAAAATCAGTTGTGAATAATGGCCCTAGACTCTTAGAAATGTCAACGTAATTAAAGTAAAAGGCATACAGGACCCGTTCTACATTACAGGGGAAAGACAGCTGCAAAAGACATTTCGGAGACACCTGGCAGAGTTGCACAGGCCCTGCTCTGAGCAGTCCAAGCCCCCCTCCACAGCCTTCTGAAGGGAGGAAATGGGCCAGGGGGCTAAGTTCTGGTCCTACAGCTTAGGAAAGAGTTGTGAGGCTCTGATCTCACAACTCATCTTAAGAGAAGATGACAGTGACCATATCTTATCTCACTTTTCTTTTAATTGAAGTGCTGACAGTAACCTAGATCCCTGAGTAAGACTCTAACCCTAAGTGTGAGCTCAAGGGCTGCTGCGATGGCAGGATTATCAGTGCTCTGGCAGGTCTGTCCAGGCCTGAGGTGGGTGCCTCAGAGGCGCAGTTCTTCTGTTGCTCCTGCGAGGTCGCCACAAAGCCCAGGCTCCCAACCTGGGCCCAGAGGCCTGGACTCTGACACTGCACCAGCAACGTGGTGTGTGTGTGTGTGCATTCTGGGAGTTTTCATCAGACTCTTCCTGACCCCAGCTATACAGTACAGGCAGACCTCATTTTCACAGATATGTGGTTTGTTTTTTCCCAAACTGCTGGAATTCACAGATACTGCATTTTCTTTTCTTTTTACAAACTGCACGTTTGTGGCACCTCTGTGTCGAGCAAGTCTATTAAGGCCATCTTCCCAACAGCATCTGCTTACTTCACATCTGTGTCATAGTCTGGTAATTCTCATGTTATTTCAAACCTTTTTCATTATTTGATCTGTGATCAGTGATGTTAACACTGCAAAAAGGTTACGACTTGCTAAAGGCTCAGATGATGGCTGGCATTTTTCGGCATCAAAGGATTTTTAAATTAAGGTACGTATTTATCTTTCAGGCATATGTGCCTGCACACTTTAGAGACTATGGTATAGTGTAACATAACTGTTACACACACGGGGAAACCAAGAAATGTGCATGCCTCACTTTGCTGCCAGATCTGGTACTGAGCTCCATGGTCCCTCCACAGTCTGCCTGGACAAGCGCTCCATCCCATGGGGGAAAGGCACAGGGGGTGCCCACAGCCTTCATGCAGCTCGAGAGCTGAGAGGCTGCAGGATTCACATGTAGGTACTTCTAGCAATGGTGCTTGGCTCAGAGCACTGATGTGGATCCTTTTTAAACTCACCTCTACGCTGAAAGCACTCTCTTCAACTTTCCCGACTTCTGCTTCTGGCAGAGGATTTTTTAAGGTCTGTAAAAATAAAGCAGCTTTTCTTTTACGTTCTGCTTGGAGCTGTTTCTCCTTCGATTCCTTAGACGCTTGGGCCAGCTTTTCCCTGGCAGCAGCTGCCAGTCGATCCTCCAATTTTTGCTTTGCTTAAGGAATAAACAAAGAAAAAAGACGTTTAGAGCAAGCGGTATTTTATAAATACCTTGCTGTCTTAATTTACATGGGCAGTAGCATGGTCATGAGATACATACAATGCAGTTACTTTAAAACATGAACATGATACTGATTTCAGGAAAGGTCAACAAATCAGGCAAACAGATTTCTGAGAGAATTAGTTTATAATGCTTATTATTAGTACTTTCCATAAATTTACTTTCAAACTCAAAGTCAGAAAGCTGATGGAGTTCCATAGCAGTGAAACCTGGAATGAGACTCTTGGAATGGTTCTCATATACAAGTGCCCAAACAGCCATACCAGGCAATGAACACTCTGTGAAAAGTGTTTTATGCCAAATGAACTGACACACTGTGGAGTTCACACGCAGTAAATGCAGATTTAGAGACACAGGCATGAACACACGTGTGCCGGGGAGAGGAACTACACAGCACATCGCAAGTTCCAGGGCCTCCTGTGGTTAAAGAGTTACTTTTTATCAATGCTGTGTGATCTGTCTGTGTATACACAGAAAAAGCAATTCACGAAACCAGTTAAGGACTGTTAATGACTTTAGTTAGAGAAGAATAGCGCTTATTTTGAAAGAAGGGTAGAATCCGACAAGACATTCCCCACAACACTGCTGGTCATGTGTCAGAGGCGAGTGGTGGCCACACTGTGACCCATGAAGATGAGCCGCAGTCTGAAAACCAGCAGGGGCCCCGGCCCCTTCAAGGGTTCGATGGTTCTGGAGGGAGAGGCCTCACAGACAGAAGGGCACCTGCTGGCTCAAAACATTAACCCGAGCTGGGAACATGGGCTGAGCATTTGCCCTAGGGCTGCCATTAAAGCACTTTCGGCCACTCTCAGCTCCTCCTTGGAAAACAAATTGCCGAGGGCACTGCATCTGAACTTAATGAACAGCAGTGCTCCTCACTTGACTGAGAGCTTCTCAGCTGAAGAAAAACATCACACAGCTCCCCAGTGGTTCCGATTCCAAAGGCTGGAGACTCTACAGTCGGCAGTCCCGTATTTTTGGCTTAGTAGGTTAATCTTTTATGTACATACTTTTCTTTTAAGAAGTTTAAAACATTTGACAAACCTTGCTTTGCTTCTAGCTCCTCCTGGGTAAGTTGAGGCCGCTTCTCCTCAACAACTACACAGGGTGGGGCAACTGCCGGGTTAGTGTTTGTAGCACTACTAGAACTTTCTTGGCCTTCTTTGCTTTCTTCATCATCATCACTGTCATCATCTAGCTTAACACGATTTTTTTCCAGGGGAAGTAGATCATTTTCTTTGGCCTTGATTGCAAAGCTTATTGGAGCAAATGAAGCTATTGAGAAAAGGTGAAAATGGTAATACATTTTTAAGTAACTGAAAGCACAGAGCAAAAATCTCGGCCCCACCATTCACATGAGCATCAGTTGGTGGGAGCAACGTCTCGAGTGGAGCCACATCTTACGCAGAGGGAGGGTCTAGGGGCAGTAGTAGTGCCCATGATGTCAGAGGGCCTTTAGAAGGATGTCACACACCCCAGGCCAGATGCAGGGCACTAAAGCACTGGCTCCAACTCAGGCCACGTCAGGACACACACACTGAGTACCATCTGGGGTCATTGCAGGGCCAAATGGTCAATTTTTGTGGATGTTTTCCTTCTTTTTCTGGGCTCAGCACATAGCTGAGTTTCCGTAAGTAAGCATATGATGCGACTCCACTATTAAAAGTTACTTCTAAAAAAAAAATCATAGCTATATAAAATAAACTTTTTCTTTCTTTTTTTTTTTTTTTACAAAAGCAAGATAATCTATTCCTTTATTCAGCAAACATTTGACTGGGTGCCTACTTTGTGCCAGGCATTATGTCAAACTATTCTCTGAAACTGTAAGACAATTTTAAACCTAGGGTAACAAAAATTTAGGTGGTTCAATTTTTTCTCTCCTAGAATATTTGGAATTTTTAATTTAAGAGAAATACAAAGGCCCAAAAGGAAACAATCTTCTTCCCCTTCCCCCCATCCACTTAACACTCACTCACTGGGTCCCTTCTTCCTCAGACACTATGGTAAACGGCTCCTAACAACACCTAATTGGTTGTAATAAGATACTTTATTTTAAAAACCATGTGTTATTACTGGTGAAAGCTATTCAAGTAAACCACAATGAAGGGCTATTTTAAGTGCAGCACAAAGGAGCTAACTCTAAGGAGGAAGTGGATCTGGGTTAACAAAGGCAGGTTCTGTCTGAAGTGGCTGGGGTTGTGAGGGTGAGCTCACTCAGCTGACCCCCAAGACATCCCCACTTTCAGCATTTTATGGTTCCAAATCCGTGGGTGACTTGAAGCAGGCAAATAACCCAATCACTGAAATATAATCATCTCTTGTCAATCATCACCTCAAGCTACAACGCACACCCCAAGATGTTCAATGTTGGTCAAGTGGGCTTCCCTATGGCTCAGATGGTAAAGAATCTGCCTGCAACGCAGGAGACCCGGGTTTGATCCCAGGTCAGGAAGATCCTCTGGAGAAGGGAACGACTACCCACTCCAGTATTCTTGCCTGGAGAGTTCCATGGACAGAGGAGCCTGGAGGGCTACAGTCCATGGGGTGGCAAAGAGTCGGACACAACTGAGTGACTAACGCACATACAAGTGCTAAGTCAGAGTCAAAGGGGGCAAAATCAGTCTGTGTTGATTATGCAATGCTATGCACTTGGACTGTGCAGGGTGATGCACCTTCCTAATAACCCCCCAGACAAAGAACATGGGAGGAAAAATACACTTTGTTGGGAGAGTCAATATTAATCATTTTACTGAGGTTATGTTAAGAACAGCTCTTATCTTTTGGAGATACATGCACTCACGCTGATGGATAAAATGCCATGATATTGGGATCTGCTGCAGAATATCCTGCGGGTGGGCTGGACTGAGTCTATAGATAAAATCAGTCAGTGCTGGCCATGGGAGCTGGACGCTCAGGGCTGCATGTGTGTGTGGTGACTATTTCACCAGGCTCTGTTTTTGTACTTGTTTGAAATTTTTTCATAAGAAAAAAGTATCATAACATTAACCCTGTATTACCTCTAGGTCTCTTTAATAAATCAGAGTCAAAGAAACATGTCAATATAGAAGAAAAGCTCAGTTAAATGTTAAAATTACTCACGTTAACTTGGGGCTAAAGTACTACACAACAAAACAATTTTAAAACAATTACTCCCTATCTTCAGGCCTTCAAACTAAAATAAATTCAACCAACAAATACATTAAAAGGAAAACTTCTGGAACACAGCTTAATGCATGCCAACAACATGGATATACTTTAAAGTGACTTAAAATAAGAGAACTGACTAATGTGCAGTCTACACGCATCACCTCACCTCACATTTGCGACCCCATGAAGAAACAGAAATGATCAGGCCTCCCCATTTACAGATAAGGAAACTGAGGTTAAAAAGGTGAAGTAACTTTCCCAATGTAGCTCAGCCTGAAAGCAGGCGATTAGGAATTACTTCCTTTGCAGAATTATTCAATTATACAACTATTGCTTCTACATGGAAGCTTATTTGCAAGTCACATCACAACATGTGAAGAGCACTTCTTACAGCTTTCAGTTTCCTGTTGTGTTAGGATGAAGCCAGGCTCCTGGCCACCTCTCCCACCATGTTCTGGGCCAGCCCTGTCCTCTGCCTGGAGCTGTCGCCCTCTTTTCCACGCCTGGCTTTCTTCCTCGGCTCTTTTCAAATGAAGCCTCTCCTCGGATAGGGCCTGCTGGCCTCTTCTCCTTCAGGCCACTCTTCACAGTTTGTACTGTGTGTGTGGTCTGCTCACCTGGAGCCTGGAACAGGCAAGGACTGCAGCACTAATGTTGCCCAGGTCCGCACCGACTCTCAGGAAACACTTGTGAGTGAATCCATAGTGTCCGGCCCTCTGCCTTCCACATCAGATATGCTTCCTTTCTTAAGGTCATTAATAACTTTTAACTTCTATGGTAAAATATATTATCAGTGGGAAATTGTGAAAACACAGGTGAACAAAATGAAAGACCAACTGCAATTCCGATATGGGAAAGAAATGATCTGAATATTATCAGTGGATGGTTCCGAGGCACAAACATGTGCATGTGCACAAATACAGGAAAATGGGACCACGCTTAACAGTTTTTAGCCCACTTATTATTTCCACTTAACAAGAGATGCCTTTCCATATAAGAAGTGTAGACATCTTTCCATGTCAACATACATCATTTTAATAAATGGCAGTCATATTCTTGGTATGGACATGCCAGTTTATTTCAGTCTCCCACAGCTGTTCCCAATTTTTTATTTTTGAAAGCTCACGAGCCTTGTGATGAACACCTGGCCAAGACAGCCTGGGGAACCAGCCGTTTCCAGGAGCGGGAGGGCGTCTGTGTTTAGAGGTGGGTCTCCACTGTCATGCTCCCTCCTTTAGAGAGGCCTTACCAACAACACTCCACGGACGGTGTGTGAGGGCCCAGCTGCCCACACCCTCTCTATTACTTTCTAACTTACCAAAGTCGAAGCAAAGAACAGTCTCTTGTCAGTGAAGATATATTTTAAAAATATGTTCACGTACCACCTGTTTTTCTTTTGTGAACTATCTTCTCATGCCCTTTGTTTTTCTACTGCAGTGACTTTTCTTATTGATTCACAAGAGCTCTTCCTATAGCAAGGATCTTGACCTTTTATCTTCTGTTATTACTAGCAATCACTGCTGTCCTGACATTTGTCTTTCAACTCTATGCGGGCCCAGCTTCCGTCAGACCTATTAATCTTTATCATTTACGGCTTTAATTCTTAGGCAGTCCTTTCCAACTCTAAGACTAGGAAAGAACTATCTAATTTTCTTCTCCCTTTATGATTTTAGTTTCTGCATTTAAACACTTTGGAATCATTATTATTGTCAGGTGGGGTGTCTAATTTTTTTCAAATGGAGAGCCTGTTTTTCCAACATCAATTATTGTCATACTAGGGAAGCTGTCTCATAAGCATCTTGGGAAGTGTGGGTGTTGTTCCAGCACCTGTCTAGTGGTAAGACTGGCTGTACTGGGAGGTTTTCTGGTGGGGTGCCACACTGGGACTTCTGCAAGGAACCCCACCTGCCCACACTTGCTCTTACTGCCCTTCTGAACCTGCTTCCATCTGAGAAGCTAACACCTGGGCTACCCAGGGCTCCTGGCCTGCACATTGCTAGGCTTTGTGGGGCTAAGGTACTGGGGCTCAAGAGCTTTTGAACTTTTGATCTTTGGGCTCTGGAGGAGCTTAAATCACAAATTACCTTGACCTTGACTTTGTCCTGGCCTGCCTGCTTTTAGAGGTATTTCATTAACCAATGTTTTCTAAATTCTTTTAGTCTTACAGATCTATTTTATTGCCTCTCTGGAGATCATTTTACCACTTCATACTTTTTTAGACAATTTTATTATTTATTTTCAAAATTTTCAAATTTAGTTATACATATTATTTCTGTGTACTTAAAAACAAGTTTTTTCCTTTCTTTTTTTTTTTCATTATGTTGTGCATTTGCTTTCTTTTCTACACTGTATTAAACTTGCACAATGATGAAAAGTTTTACTGGTCTTTTATTATTTCCTCACTGATTTCTGCCTTCTTTAGTGATTTTCCTTTTCTGCTTTCCTTCCATGCATTTTTTAGTTTCTTCCTAGGTTCTTGAGTTGAATGCTTGGTTTGTTTTTATTTTTTCTTTATCAACACAAGCATAAGAAGTTATCGGTTTTTAAGTTTTCACTGCATTTGATAATTTTTTGATAATAGTCTTGTTTTCAGTTTCTTTGACTATTTCAGGGCATTGCCACATTTGTAAACTCTGCTCCAGCATTTAGAATACTTTGCATTCAGAATCTGATACACCTGAATTCCCTGGCATTTAATGCTACAGATACATGTCTAATGTGCCAGCCTGCTTTTTTCCCCCTGTGGAGGACAACCTATTTTCCTATCTAGATGGCTTTTCTTCCATCTTTATTCTTTTCCTTGGAAATCTGAGGAAAATTCTGAACTTGTTTTCTCATCCAATTTGATTCTGAGTGCTTTATTATATTTTAAGAATTGGCAATCATTTTCTAAATCTTTTCCAGATGTTGGATTATCAGTTACACTAATTTTACAGAACTTTTAATTCTGTGAGAGTAGAAATCAGAGAGTAAAAGAATTTTCCTATAATTTAGTAACTGCTTCCAAGGGCTCAGATGCATGTCCTTCTGAACTCCTGCCTCTCTGCAGGTGCAGTGACCCGTCTCGGGCAGGGTGGGTTCTGTCAGACACCTGCAGCTCTCAGGCGTCTCAGGCTCAGAAAATGCGAGAAGGCAAGCGCGGTTTCACCTGCTGAATTACTGGGCACTCACAGGAGAGTGGAGGGTGCACCATGGTGGGCAGTAACCTTGGCTGAGGGGCTGACCAACTGCACCGGATCAAACCCTGACAGGGCCCGGCTGCCCTCAGATGATCCTGGCTGTTCTGATCTTTGGCCTGCTCCCTTTTTTGGTTGACAGTGGGTTCTCCTGGGGGTCACTGCCACTGACTCCAAAATGTCTGGCTTGTCCCTAATGAACTAAAGTCCAGGTGGGCTGGCTTGTCTTTCTTAAGCATGTCCCCCAGCTTTTGGAGCAGTAACCAATCCCACCCTCCCTTTTAAATTTTTAATCGAAGGATAATTGCTTTACTAGTAACAGTTTTTACTCTCTACTTGCTATATTCCTCTGGCTATTCCAGTGAGAGTCTGAAGACAGCTGGGAGGGGTGAGAGAAGAAACACGTATGCTCAGGGAACCTCCTGTATTGAGAGGCTTACAGATGCTTTCCTGCTCTCCTAAATCACGGGTTTCCGAGTTATTCACTTGGGTCATTCTGGTTACTCTTGATCACCATCTATCAGAAAAGGCATCTCTGTGCACAGAAAAGGCCTTCCCGTGACCTGGCCCATCCTGCTCCATCCCGCATCCCCTCTGCCGTCCTCCCACCCGAGCACTCGCTGCAGCGCCCCTCCTGCACTCGAGGCCATCAGCTCCTCTAAACCTCCCACGTGGCTTCTGTGCTTCACACGCTCACCACACGGGGCAAAGAGACCCCTCTGATCTAAGATGTACGGTGTTTTGCCCCTGATGGTAGCCCCAGGACCCACCAGGAGGGCAGACCCCCATGAGGTGGCTGAGGCTACCTTGGTGGGTATGCCCCACTTGACACCCGAGTCACTTGGACCGCTTCCCATCTCTGAACCTGCCACGCATCTCAGATGGCACCGCCCGTGCCTAGGGGTGAGCCTCTATTTCTGGGAGTCCCTTTCCCTCTGCATGCCCTTTCTTGTTCCCACCTGGTGGAATTCACTGCTTCTTCACATGTTCTATCACAAAGGGTTCTCTGCTAATGTGCCTGTGTCAACTTTTCTTCTTTCTGTATGTCTGTTCTGGTAAATGAAAAACTCCTCCCATGAACATAAAGGGAAACTGGAATGGAGTGAAAGGAATATTGCCTGGTAGAGACCCTCAAGGGACCTGCCTTAACATATAAAGAAAACTAATTCCATTGGCACAATAGTTTGCATGTAGTTTCACAAGTCCAAGGCGGTACAAAACATTATTTGAAAAATTCTAAACACTTCCATTAACCCTAACATGAGAATAGTCTGTTAAAACAAATGTATACCTAAGATGAGTTTGTATCCAAATGACCCCAAATTCAAAATCAAGAAAGTATTGGATTGGCCAAAAAGCTTGTTCAGGTTTTTCCATAAGATAGTACAGAAAAACCTGAACAAACTTGTTGGCTAACCCATATAAGCAAGTTTCATTATAGCAACTTAAAAGGGGCAGCCATTCCCTCCTGTCCTATGGTTGAAGGCAGCTGACCGTAAGTGGTCTAGCGCTCTTCCTTGCTAATTTAAAGTGACACCTACGAGGTACAAGATCAAGAATGGAACTCTCGGTAGCGAGGGCAGCATACCTTTCACAAGCTTCCCGTCTGGGACGGCTCTGCTGGACGATGCCTCTTTCTTTCCCGAGGAGACACCTCTTCCCCCCACGTCGGCTGCGTCTTCAGACACACTATCTTCCCCAACGTCACTCGGCTTTTCAGGAGCAGACTCTGCAGGAGTCTCTTCCAGCGCTGACACAGCCTGTAGAGGTTAAACATGACTCTGAATTGCTCACCGGAAATGACGCAGGATTTGTCAGGAAACAGACACAGTGTATGTATATTTCATGGGACGACAGCACTGCTATGTTACTGCCCAAGTAACACTAAGGAGCATACTTTCTAACTCAGATTTACTATTTTCTGATAGAACAGACTGAAAGGAAAAGCGGAAGGTATTTCCCCTCTAACACCATTTTGGGAACAAATGCCCACTACTCCTGTGGAAATGGATCACTGAGAACACATTTAGAACACCAAATTATGCCTGGTACCTAAGTCCATTTTCTTCAGTTTGAGCAGTCAGAGATAAAAGCCTGAGGGAATCCAGTGACATGTTCTCTACCAAAACAGGTTTTAAAAAATATCAGGGTGTCCATGTAAATAAGGAGAGGAGAGGAGAGGAGAAGCAGAAGAAAGGATTATAAGGACAGGAAGAAATGCTTCCAACAGGTACCTAGGAATCAAGTGTGGGGCCGTTTGCAGGGAGGGAAGCTGTGAGGGGAGCTGCTAGCAGGCGGCCCTCCAAGACAACGGTGGGCAGCACCCTTGACTGGACAAATGATCATCAGTGAATTGTGAATGTGGTCAAAGGTTTTAACAGGTATAAAACAGAGAGAGGGAAGAAAGGTAAGTCAGTAAATGCAAGACATCCATTACACCTAAAAGCAAGTGTAAAATGTACAAGCCTTATTAGCACACATCTTAAGAATCAGACTGTTCTTCCCACACATACCTGTGCGTTCTCGCCCCCTTCTTTCTGGAGGAAAAACTGCTTCTTAAACTCGTAATAGGCATTATACTGGTGCCACGGCTGCAGGAACTCAAACCTAGGAACAGAGAAGGGATGAGGCATTCAATAAGACACGCTCACTGCAACACCTCAGCTCTGACCAACCACACTTGTTCTGACTTCACAGTGACTGACCCCCAGGATCTCAACAACCCCTCGTGGCAGCCACAACACCCCCCACACACTTTACAGACCCAGGAGACTGGGGCAGAGAAGGTCAGAGCGCTCATCCACAGTCACACAGATCATGCTGCAACCACAGCCTCCTGTTTTTACGTTACAATCTGAGCATGGAACATTATTTGATTAAAAACACAAGGTGAAGTGTGGGTCTAACTTCCACAGCAGATTCTTGAAAAGCATGAATTCCAGCCTTTTATTTTAGGCAGGTCCAATATTTTTTATATATATAATATATAAAGAATTATGTAGCTAGGTTAAAAAAAGAAGCTAAACTAAACCTCAAATACCATCCACCTACCCCATATAAACTCCTTCACTCACCGTTGATCATTCTTGGCCCGAACGCTGGTCTCAAACTTAAGGCCGTTCCTGGCCACGTACTCTGCCAACTTGTCAATCACAGGCTGGATGTCGGGGGGCGGGGGGATGATGGTGGCCACGGGAGCAAGTGCACTGCAAAGGAGAACAGGGTCACACCCACAGCACCAGGCCCTCCCCCAGATCACTGGTCGGGGCAGCCGGCACAGTGGCTGGAGGACTTGCACTGTCTCAGTTCCCACCAACAGGTAAGTTATAGAGACAGGGAAGCTCTTATCTGAGATGACTGGGACTCCAGAAAACTAATCAAAGTCAATCCACTTGAAACAGGGACTGAAATATCACTGCTGATTGTGAAAACAGGGGTTTTACTCAAAGTGACACTTAAGGTCATGAAAACAGAATCATCTCCTCCCATTTCCCTCCAATTGCTAATTCTCAGAAGTAACCAAGAATAAACCAAGTGTGGATTTTTTTATCTTAAAAATGCTGGCTAGCATAATTCATCACCCATAGTTTCATCTTTGACTTTCTTAGCACGTTCAGAAAGTGGGTCATTTCTACAAAAATAACAAAGTGTTCTGTCAGGTTTCCTGAGCATCTTTTTAGCAAGTTCCAGAGCCTCTTACAAAGTGCCTGCTCAACTGCGACACTCAAGAGTCCCCTCCACACCACCCCTGACAAGGGCTGGGGGTTTAGTCCCTACTGTGCTAGCTCTGTGAGTCAACGGTTTGCTGGGCTGATGGTCAGGTCCCAACAGTGTGGGAGAGATTCACTTGCATCAACTTTATGGAATCCGGGTTTTTGGCAAATAACTGGACTCCATACTGACTATGCCCGGTAATGTCCACCTGAGATGGTGACACACGGGAAAGAACAGATGCTGGGGCTCAGGGGGAGGGGTGTGGGATGCTAACAGGGAGGGAATTTTCTCAGTTGGTTAAATCTCACTGCTGTAAGTGCCTATGTCATGATCAACCCTGCAACGTGGGGACTTGGATAATAAATACTCAGATAACAGAGATCCTCTGTGTGATCCACATTATAAAGAAGCCTAAACCAAGAACACACGTGCTCCAGGTGGTCAGCAGGACAGCATACCTTGTGGTGATGGTGGTGGTGGTCACCCCACTGCTCGTCTCCGCCGTGGTTGGTGGGGGAGGTGGCGTGGTCCCTGGAGGGGGTGGGGCAGTGGCAGTCACTCCGGTGGAGCTGGACACGGCCACCCCGGCAGGCAGGGTGCTGTAGTAAGTGGCAACGTCAACTCCTGGAGGGGGAGGTGCCAGGCAGTAGGTGCCGTCTGGCAGCATGTAGTAGCTGTAGTACATGGCTGCCACCGTTGCTGTAAAGAGACACATTTTGAGGGCATGAGATAGGCAAATGATGGGCCAGCTGGCTACAATACACAATGCAGGGGGAACCTTCTGTCCAATGTCAACCATGTATTTTCTTTATTTTTCTGATATAAGAAAGGGTGCCCAGGGGACAACACAATTTGGAAGAACTGGACAACGTCCAGACACACACCCAGGAACGATGGAATCTGAACACGCACAGGGACATTCAGAGAAGCCCACTGCCTACACAAACTGCAGAATGGCAGATTAGGACAAACTCCTCTGTCCAGTACACCGGCTCCCCTCCTGGTGTGTGTTGTGAAGTGACCGTCTGAGGACTAAACCCTTCTACTGGCTTCCCCGTTTGGCACCAACTCTCCACTCTTTACTTTCCTCTTTTAAAAATTTGTCTTGGCATAAACCGTTTTCTTAGGTCTCCCAAGGCAAGAGACACAAAAGCAAAAACAAACAAATGTGACCCAATAAAACTTAATAAGCTTTTACGCAACAAGGGAAACTATAAATGAAATGAAAAGACAACTCACAGGATGAGAGAAAGTATTTGCAGATGATGTGACCAACAAGAGCTTAATTTCCAAAATATACAAACAGCTCATATTCCTCAATAACAAGAAAACAACCGACTAATCAAAAAATGGGGAGAAGACCCAAATAGACATTTCTCCAAGGAAGACACACAATGGCCAATAAGCACACAAAAAAGATGGTCAACACTGCTAATTATTATGGCAATGCATTAAAAATACGAGGTATCAGCTCTCACTAGTCAGAATGGCCATGATGAAAAAGTCTACAAATAACAAATGATGCAGAGTGTATGAGAACAGGGAATCCTCCTACACTGTTGGTGGGAGTGTAAATTGGTGCTGCCACTGTGGAGAACAGCATGGAGATTCCTTATTCCTTAAAAAACTAGAGCCACCCTATGATCCAGCAATTTCACTCCTGGGCTTACATCCAGAGAAAACCCTAATTCTAAGACACGTACCCCAATGTTCAAAGCAGCACTATTTACAATAGCCAAGATATGGAAACAGCCTAAATGTCCATCAATAGATGAATGGATAAAGATGAGATACATATGTACAATGGAATACTATTGTTTGTTAAGTCGTGCCTGACTCTTTTGCGACCCCATGGACTATAGCCTGCCAAGACTCTTTTGTCCATGAGATTTCCGAGGCAAGAATACTGGAGTGGTTGCCATTTCCTCCTCCAGGGGATCTTTCTGACCCAGGGATCAAATCTGTGTCTCCTAAACTGCTGGTGGATTCTTAAAACCCAACAGAATATTATTCATCCACACAAAAAAATGAAATAACGCCATTTGTAACAACATGAACAGACCTGAGATTATTACTTAGTGAACTAAATCAGAGAGAGAGACAGATATATTTGATATCATTTACATGCAGAGTGTAAATGGGCTTCCCTCATAGTTCAGTTGGTAAAGAATCTGCCTGCAATGAAGGAGATGCCAGTTCGATTCCTGGGTCAGGAAGACCCGCTGGAGAAGGGATAGGCTACCCATTCCAGTATTCTTGGGCTTCCCTTGTGGCTCAGCTGGTAAAGAATCCACCTGCAATGTGGGAGACCTGGGTTCAATCCCTGGGTTGGGAAGATCCCCTGGAGAAGGGAAAGGCTACCCACTCCAGTATTCTGGCCTGGAGAATTCTATGGACACAGTCCATGGGGTCACAAAGGGTCAGACATGACTGAGCGACTTTCACTTTCACATGCAGAATCCAAAATATGATACAAATGAACTTATTTACAATAGAGAAACAGTCTCACAGTCATAGAAAACAATACCAAAGAGGGAAGGAGGAGACATAAATTAGGTGTCTGGAATTATCAGATACATACTGCTATATATAAAATAGATAAAACAACAAGGTCCTACTGTATAGCACAGAGAACTATCAGGTATCTTTTAATAAACTATAATAGACCTGAATCTGAAAAAGAACATATATATAACAGATATAATAAACGAATCGGATACATACTCATACACATACATGTATATACACGTATGTGTATGTTTAGTTGTTCAGTTGTGTACGACTCTTTGCAATCCCATGGACTAGCCCACAGGCTCCTCTGTCCATGGGGATTCTCCNACTCTTTGCAATCCCATGGACTAGCCCACAGGCTCCTCTGTCCATGGGGATTCTCCAGGCAAGAATACTGGAGTGGGCTGCCATGCCCTCCTCCAGGGGATCTTCCCAACCCAGGGATCGACCCCAGGTCTCCCACACTGCAGGCACTCTTTACGGTCTGAGCCACCAGGGAAGCCCATACACATCTGTGTGTGTGTGTAAAAAACAGAATCACTTTGATGTACAGCAGAAACTAACACAACACTGTAAATTAACTACACTCAACAATAAACAAGCATACATTCGTCTTGGAAGTAAGTCATCTTGTCTACAAAGCTGTGCTGCTCTGTAACCACTGCATGTCCCCACCTCAGCACAGAGATGCACTGCAATTTACTTAAGAAGTCCTAATGGACACTGAGATCACTTTGGGGCTTTATTATTATAAACAGTGACGTACAATAACATCTTATATATTTTGCCCACACAGGCTAGTATCTGTAGGATAGAGCCTATTTACAAACAAAAAGCAAAAACAAATAAACAAACAAAAAAAAACCAATAGAAATTCCTGTAAGTTTATTCTTTTTTTTTTTTTGGTGAGGGAAAAAAATTCAAAACCAGCAAAACCACAGAAGACCCAATGATCTAATTAAGCATTTAAATTTCTAATCCTGTTAAAGATAAGCAACTGGTTCTGACTACAGAGATTTAATTCCTCTTCATTAGAGGATGGTGAAAGATTTTTCTAAGTAAGGAATTTTATTTTGATTTTCAATTAACTTACTTTAAGACAAAAACATTTACAAATAGCAAGAGCTATTCACTGCCCGTGGTGTCCAGCACTGCAGGCCATGCAGGGAAGACACGGGCGGTGTAGCAGCTCCCCACCTCTCCTAACAGCTGGACCAGAGCCCTGCTGTCCTCGGCTGGAACGACTGCATAGTTCACATGCGCTGCGTGTGTATCCGGAGATGCTAATGACTTACTCTCTGTTAATTACACATGTCTCAATTCCCAGGTTGTGACTCTCTGGCTTGATGCTGCACACCAACCACCGTTCATGTTCACAATAATATTCCACATTTTCAGAGTAAGATGTGTGGCCTCAACATCCTCTCTACATGATCTTTAGCACAGAGACATTCAGACCACACCTCTGAAGGAAGGCATGGGCAGAGGTGAGACCACAAAGGGCTGGTGGTTGACGGAGGAAAGGGAGGTTTGCTCTCTAAGCCCAGCACTCAGGACACAGAGTTTGATGGGTGGACAAACTGATAGGACGTTCATATACAAGCTTTTCCTAACCAAAGGAGGTATCTGAACATGAAGAGAAGCCTCTGTGAGATAAACCATGACCTTGAAAAAATGGAATTATGTTTCCCTTCACCCCCTTCAGATAATCAAGCTACCAGGGTCTTTCTTCTCACCCCTTGTGCAGAGCCACCACCATAGGAGAGGAGATGAGGCAGCATCAGCAGGACCAGAGTGTGCCCTGCCCCCCACCCCCTGACAGAGCACACTCCTGCGTATACTGGGGAGAGGGGACAGCAAGTGCTGTCCAAAATGTCACACCTCAAGGAAAGGACACTCCACACCCTGTTCCAGACAGTTAGCCTCTTACCTGAAAACAAGTTAAAATGCATTTAAAAAATGTAGCCATAACCAATGAAACAAATATGAAATTAAAAAAGTATTTTTTAAAATTAAGTTTCGACTATATATTATGCAATTATAATTTAATGCATCCTTTATGGAATAGAAGTGAATAAATTATTTTTAAAACTGAGTAACATCCCTTTGAAAGTTTTGATATGAATATGCAGATTAACCATCAGTCTATACCTGAGCTACCCATCATATTAAATTAAAACAAAGACTAAAAATAGGCCTGCCAGAGAAATGGCAGATGAACTCAAGAACTCACCCATTACAAACATCTAAAAACATGTCCTAAAATAAAGGAGAAATTTAAAATGCATAGCTGAGCTCACAAAGAAAAAAAGAATCCATCTCCAGGTGTGAAAATCAAAGCTTCCAAACCCGAAGGCATCTCTTAAGCCTTGGGCTTGCTCAGCATGTGGGGATTCCCATGCTGGAAACAGGGCTCAGACTGCAAACCCTAGGGCCACACCAGGATCCACTCTGGGGAGTCTTGCAGAGGACACAGTGGAATCAGAAACCTAGGGACAACATGTTCGGGACGCCCTCTCACTTCTTACACAAGAACTCTGTGAGTCTCTTCCAATAAATTCTAATTATACCTTGCAAAGGTGAACAGGAATTTGAAAATCCCTGTACATCCAAAAATAACCCTGATGGCAATGAAACATCTGAGGCGTGGTGAGCTGAGAATGCAGACTTGCTTGCTGCAAGGTGCCTGCTGGGGCAANAAGGTGAACAGGAATTTGAAAATCCCTGTACATCCAAAAATAACCCTGATGGCAATGAAACATCTGAGGCGTGGTGAGCTGAGAATGCAGACTTGCTTGCTGCAAGGTGCCTGCTGGGGCAATGCCACAGCTGAGGACTCAACACTGTGGCCAATTATGAGGCCGTTTCACCAAGATTCTCTGTGCATGGAATGTCACAGATGAAAAGATTTTAGGGAAAAATTTGTTTCTGTTCTTTTCACCACAGACACTGAGGTCTGGGCAGATGTGACAGGGCCAATCTCAGCAAAGACCCACGTCTGTCCTGTCTTGCCCTCCAGTTTATGGTGAAGAGCACTGTGCCCCTCATTTCTGACCCTGGCACCTCCAAACCGTGTCTCCTGCCAGCTATGAATGAAGTCCTTCCCAAGCTTTTTTTTACCTCCAACAAATTATAAACCCTGGTGAGGATGTATAGAAAACGGACCCCTTATACACTGTTGGTGGGAA